ACTGCTGCCCTGTTTCAATATACTGATAGACAGGGGGTTATAGAATACTATTGACGCTAGACTATCACACCTACAGTAGATCTCGATTTGGCCGATTTTATATGAGTCGGCGTGAATATCGACCAACCGCCAAGAAACTCTAAGCCACGACACTAGTAAGGAGTTGCGCGACAAAAGCTGGGCGCCATAGCACTGATAAGAGTTAGTGTTAGTCATGCGCGATTTAAGGCTGGCTCCCTTGTTTTCCTCCGTGAAACGGGTCTCCTCTAGAATGGTACCGAGGATTAGACCGCACCGCTCCGGTTAGATACGGGAGTTCGGGCAAGCTTGTCATCATATGGATGGAATAATCTTTCATATCTGATCTCTTTCTTTTCCGAAACAAAAACTGGTTTCATGGAATTCACAAGCGAATTACCATGCATCCACCGTCATTAGATCATCTACATGGTACCGGAAGGGCAGTCTATCGACTATTTTCGCAATCGACCATGAAGAAAGAGCCGGATTTGTCTAAACTCGGGGCATCGCACTCAGGAATCAAGTCTCGCACCCGCAGCGGTTGCAACACGTGTCGCAAGAGGCGAGTCAAGTGTGATGGTACTTGAACCCGTCTCGTAATCTCGCCGTGGACGGTTCCCTGGCTTCGAAGGTGTTCTGCTTCTTGGGCCTTGCTGAATGTCCACCGAGCCTTTTGTCCGAATTACTGACAATTCATTACAGAAGGGCATCCCGCTTGTCGTCGCTGCGTCCGCTCACAGCTAACCTGCGGCTACCAACTTCATCTTTCGTGGGAGCAGGACTTAGCGGCGTCCGGTAAGTGCCATGGTCGTTCGGGAGTGTGGTCAAAGACCTCGAATCAGAATTCCAAAAAGACTAAAAGCGTATCCTCCACGAACTCAACGAAAAGCCCCAGACAAACCGGCTACGCACGAATGGGCATCTCACTACTGGCGTTAAACCAGCTAGAAAGTCACATATTCGCGAACACGGATACTTCCGATATGCAGGTTCTATCCCGGCTCCAAGACAACTGCATGCAAAGACAAAGCTCCCTTCGAGAGTTCACGACATCTTCAGCAATGTACCCCCCGAATATTGGCTTGTTGAGTCCCAAGCATGCCTTCGAGATATTCTCCCCTCAATCTCACTTGACAAGTTTCCCCTGGAAGCGTGCAGTATCTGACTATGAATCGTTTCTCCTATCGTACTTTGAAACAGTCATCTGTGCAACCAGCACATTTGTGGACGATATGCACTGCAATCCTCTACGGAGTGTGGTCCTCCCAATGGCGGCTCTTTCTGAATTGACTTATCACGCTCTGCTGATGATGGCTGCACACTATCTGCAACTAGTGGAGCCGCGATACTATCGAGAGGAGATGAAGCTTCGCCAAAGTACTCTGACGAAACTTCGTGAAGCTGTGGTTAGCTCTGGCTGGTGTGACGATGATGTATTATTGACAGTTATGATTCTCTGCTCCTCTGATGTAAGCTCTCACCTCCTGCACCCCAGCTAAAGGGGAGTGTTCTGGTCGGTCACTCTTGAGTGCCTTGCCAGGTCTCTGGCTCGCTTCTCTACCGAGCTAAACGTCTCGGCACTCCAGATCTCCTATCACTACGATCCAGCCTGGCTGGTTCATCTTAAATACTACCGTGAATACCTAATGTGGAGGATTGAACACAAACTCTCACCTTCATCTGCATCCCCCCTCGTGCGTTACGTCGCAAGCTATTTCTCAGCTCACACCGTGCTGGCGAAGACCCTTTTTGAAATCGCCGACTCGGCGCCGTCGACGGTGAGATCTATCGGCATGATTCAGGAGGAATTTTCGGCAAATGGGACGCTCGGGACCGGCTTCGATAGAATTTTCGATTCTTACGACACTTGGACAGCCACTGAATTCATCTCCTCATTCATGTCAACAGAGACTCTCGACGAAATTGATATCTGGAACGGCTACAGCAACTCTCTTCTCCTGCTCATCAATGAGATCGTCAGTCTCAGGGAGGACGTGGGTAGATTGTATCAATGCTGCCTAAGCCAGGCGAAGCTAGAAGCGAAAATTCGGTTGCTGCAGGCGAGCCTCGAACGCCTCTCCCAATCAAGCCCCACGTCGTTGCTTGATTCTGATCACCCGGATCTGCCGCATCAACGCCGCATGCTTGAGAGCAATGCAGAAGCATACCGACTCGCCGCCATCCTGTTCCTCAATGAATCCTCCTCACCAAGTTTCCTTGGGCGAGTGACTACGAGCGACGCATCTCCAGTCCTCCCCTTACTGGATGCGGCGGAGAAGCGCAAGTATGTAAGCAACGTGCTCGATCTGATCCGGGAAATTGTGACGCACACTAAGTTACCACCTTCATGGCCGCTATGGGCGCTCTTCATTGCGGGCTGTTGTACCGACACTGAGGAAGACAGGGTGGTAGTTTTGTCGTTGCTACAATCCGCATTGCAAAAAAAGCCATACGAAAACATACCGAGAGCCCAGAAGGTTATTGAGCTTGTTTGGCAGCATCGAGACGCGCAACTGGAGAGTAGGGTCGGCAAAAGGCGGCAACATCCTGGGATGGTTGGGCGCTACGAGTGGGAGGTAATTATGGACATCAAAGGGTGGAGGCCAAGTTTTGCGTGATGTACTTGCTGTATTTGCTACTAAAACAAAATCCTCATCATCGGTGTTGAGCACCCTTCATATCTTAGCATTGATCGCAACAGTGGGGGCAGACTGGGTTCATGCTGGAAAACTCCAAGAGGATTGAAAACATGTTCTTCCTGCCCGGCTTGTAACCTCCCCTATTTCTATTATCGACAAGGGCACCCCTATCTTCTCAGTGAAATTATCCTCGGTTCCACCGCACCCATTGGGATGCCTGAGATTCTTCGATGAACCCTCATTCCTCCTCTCGACTCTTCACAAGCAATATCTGAAACTCTTATTCACCCAGTCTGAAACATCCACGTCGAGATTTCCCCGTTCTTCTTCTTCTTCGGCTTCCCTAGTGAGCTCGTCGTTCGAATCGGTCTTGGCCTCAGGGTCAATAACGCATCCTTGCGCCTGGTCGCGACGCATGTTCTCCGACGACATGTAGAAGCGGAGACCGAGGATAGTGGCAATACCAATGCAGAAGCACGAAAGGATGGCTGCATACGCGGACTGTTCATTTCGAAAGAAAAGAACTCATATGTCAGTCATGAACCTTCCATCGCTCTTGTTTCTTGTCTATCTTTAACATACCTGGTAGTGTGGAGCTTCTTGTGCCTTGAAAACCATCGGTCCACCAATGTTTCCGGCGCAGTAGCCCATGAACAAGATGGCCGCAACGGTGGTTTTCTTGGTGTATCCAGCGAAGTTGCTCGAGATGATACTCAGGCTTAGAGGGAACCCGCAACCGAAGGTAAAGGACAGCCAAATTCCTACCAGGCGGCCTCCCTTATTTGCGTATGGGAGTTGGCGCACGAGCAGAATACCAAGCATGCCGACCAGAAGTGTAGATGCCATGACATAGCAACGCATTCGTCTGTATTTGTTGGTGATATATGCCGCGAGGAGAAGAACGCCGAAGCTGATTGCCGGACCGGGCATGCCGAGGAGGAGGGTTTGGAAAGTGTCAAATCCAAATCCTTGAATGATGAGGCTCGAAAACTGTCTTTTTTGTTAGAGATTGGAGAACCTCTCTGAAGGCATTAAGGCAGATCCTTTCTTGGATCAAAGATATGCTTGGGGCTTGTTGGACATGAAGAAGGTTACTAACATTGGTCAGACCTCCATTAGGCAGGCAGATCATTACATTGTAGATAAATAACAACCAGGTTTTCGGGTCGATCACGGCTTCAATGAATTGATCCTTCCTCCACTTAGTGCTTTTATAACTCTTCTGCGCTGCTTGTGGCCTCTGGTACGCAAACTTTCGTTCTTCCTCTGTTAAAAATCGAGCTGTGAGTGGGGAATCTGGAAGAAAGACGAGCAGAACTATGGCCCAGACAAAGGTGACAAGCCCAAAAATGATGAAAAGCCACTATGTTGGACTGGTCAGCTCTTACATTTCTCATACGACGACTACTGTTTTGATGAACACAATTGGGATGGAATGAGCTTACTTTCCACGCAGCGATGCTATGTTCAATGTGCCCGATGGCATAAGAGAGAAGTCCTCCAAAGATGGAGGCAAAGGCATTTCCAGAAAACCAGATGCAGGTTCTCAGGGCGTGCTCGGAAGGCTTGTACCAGATGCCGGTGATCAAAGTGAAACCAGGACTTATAGTGCTCTCGAACACACCAAGGAGAACACGAAGCGTAGTCAATGAGACCATATTGGTGGTGGCACCATGACAAGCTAGGACGACGGCCCAAATGATCCTGGAGAAAGTTGAGATATTAGAAAGATAAGGCTATTGGCGTCGGATGGGGATATCGTACATCATGGTTGAAAGATACTTTGCAATTGGAAATTTAATGAACCCGAAGGAGGCGGGATAGCTAGCAGCCATGAAGCCATAATAGAAGGCACTTGATGCCCAGGAATATTGGTCACCCACCAGACCCTGTTTTCAATCTACGTCAGTAAGAATATAAACCACCGGCGACCAAATATTACAGAGACATACAGTTCCCTGCGGTAGACCAAGAACAGCGGCGTATCCCAAGGTTGTCTTATCCAGAAATTGTAAGGTGTATGAAACCCAAAGGCATGGAAGAAGCCTGAAATCATTCAGTAATTGCCGAAACGGCCATGAATATCAATCTCTCACCATAAATCTATTCTTCTGACAAGGGCCTTTTCTTCACTCTCATCCATGCTGATGATGCCAACAGAAGCCTGGGCCTCCTCTTTCTTCATATCAGCGATCACTCTACCAGAAGGGATCACTTCTGACTCAGGGACAACAGTCTTTGGATCCATTTGGAATGCAGAGAGGAGATGTTTAAGGGGAATGACGACTCAATATTTGGTATCAAAAAATGCATCGATGAAGAGTCAGGAGCTAGGATCTTTAATACTTGATACCCTGGACCACATCATCTCGAGAACATCTTATCAAGACAAAAAATCAGGCCAAGGTCTCAATAAGTTGATGAGAAGGTCCAAGCGATTATAAGCAGCTGACTGCGCTAGCACGGATCAAACGCGGGACAGGACAGATGGTTAATCAGACTCTGCCAAGGTTCAAGATAAGGCGAAGAGGGTCTATCGGGTACTTATCGGCACTAGTCTTGATTAAGCAATTTGGCCTCGCTTCGACCTTCATCTATAATAGAAGGTTTGGTAGAATGCGTAGTCCGTAGAACCGATTCGATTAGTTGGATTGGTAAGTTTTCAAGAATACTGGGAAAGAATTCCCCAGCATGAACCCCGAAGCTTTGTTGTCATCGCTTCGAGCTTCCTCTTGATCCCAATCCACTCGTTTCGGGTCTTGGACTTGAAAATCCTGACCCGCCGTAAATTAACGATTTACCATTAGTACATATCAGAGGTGCTGGCATCTCTGCGTCTTCGATTCTCTCGTCTTAGCTATATCTGCGTTCAAAATTGAGGAACAAAGCATGCATCTACACCAGAAACAATCGCCCTTGACAAGGGCACAAGCAGATATCCTGATTCCTGGGAGGGGATCACCCGTCACAAATGGAACTGTGGTATGGAAGGACAGTGTCATTGTTTATGTGGGCGCCCAGGAGGCTCTTCCTGAGGAGTATCGCACCGTGCCCTGCTCTGAGCACAAGTTGATCATGCCAGGCATGTGGGATTGCCATATACACTATCTCGGGGCAACTTCAGCGATGATGCAAACGTTTACGACCACCTCGCAGTCATTGGCAGGAGCAAGGAGTGTCCCAGACCTGCGCGATACTATTATGGCTGGATTTACCTCTGTGCGGGAGGTTGGAGGGTACGGTTGCGAGCTCGGCAAAGCAGTGAAAGAGGGCCGGATCGTTGGACCGACAATCTATAGCTCTTATAGCGCCATCAGCATGACTGCTGGTCATGGTGACGTTCATAATGTTCATCTCGAAGGGTTCAAAGACTTATGCACCCACGGTTTGCCGTTTACGATCGCCGATGGAGTGGATGAGTGCATCAAAGCCGTACGCTTGCAGCTTCGCCGAGGCGCCAGAGTTATCAAGGTCTGCGCGAGTGGTGGCGTGGCAAGTGAGATAGACGATCCCCATCATCAGGAATATTCTTTGGAGGAGTTGAAAGCAATTGTCGAAGAAGCCAACCGAGCACAACGAGTTGTAGCAGCCCATTGCCATGGCAAGGCCGGAATCATGGCTGCTCTCGAGGCAGGTTGTTCTACCATCGAGCATGGCAGCTATCTGGATGAAGAAGCCATCGACATTATGGTAAAGAAAGGGGTGGTCCTCGTGGCAACCAGGTCCATTCTGGAAGGGGGCTTGGAATCACCCGAGCTCTTCTCTCCTCGCTCCTACGCTAAACTCCTGCAGGTTGCAGATTCTCACGCTCAAGCATATGCGCTGGCGGTGAAGAGTGGGGTCAAGATTGCCTTGGGAACAGACTTGTTTATAAGTGGTGGATTGGGTCCTCTTAAATACGGTAACAATGGTCGGGAAGTAATGTTTGCCGTCAACGCCGGCCTCAGCCCACTCCAGGCGATTGAGGCTGCTACAGCCAATGGACCATTGACCATCGGACCTCAGGCACCACTAACAGGTCAATTGAAGGAAGGATATGAGGCTGATATGATCGCCTTGACTGAAAACCCATTGAACGATATCAATGTCTTGGCAGACGCCAAGAATGTGACACATGTCTGGCAGCAAGGGAAACTGATAAAGTCACCGTAATGGAGCAATTTAAGCATCTAAAAGTCAAATCTTTAAAAATATGTTTTGTCTTTGCAGATATTATTCAGTTTGACGGACTTTTAGCTCCTGTATTTAGATCCCCAGAAAGCGATGAGCAATTGACGGCTGATCTCCTACCAATCGGACTGTACGCCGGAGCATTTATGAGGGCATTATCTATTTTAAGACCACCGTTTCAGTCCCTTACTCACTCCCGACCATGGGCCTTGCGGTATATCGCTGCGTGTAAGGGCTATTTCAACTTCGTTCGAGCCCTTGTTATGACTTACGAAGCTCACCTTAATGTTACGGTATGTCACGTTTGTATCTATCAGAGTCAACATATATGGCTTATTATATAGAATGAGTTACTCCAAGATCTGAACAAGGCATCGGTGGCGACCTTGGTCTATGAGGCCTTGGCTAATGGACGCGATGTAATGGCGTATGTGTTGGTGGAGTTGGGCGTAGCATAGGATAAAGAAATTGTGTTGTAGTTTGTTTAACTATCGTTTCTAGCTAGAGTCTAAGGACCATGATAAAGTAGAGTATGATGTGTGAGATATACCCTGATGGGACGATCTGTATAATCATGTCGGAAATATTGACAACCAAATAGCTGGCAATTTTCTTTTTCCCTATAACGGTAACTGCAATCGCTATAGTTGATAGTTTTTGGGGTATTGTTCTTCTATCCACTACCTATAATATGGCAATGATTGACAAGAGTATCTCTAGCAATAATCACCTTCCTTATAAGCCATATACTATCACTACTAGTCATACTAAATCTAAGTTCTCATCTTTTACTCATGATAATCGGTGGCAGCACGATGCTGCTACTTCCGAAGGCATCTTCTCTGCTACAAATGTGCTAGCGTTGGTAAGCTTTGTGGCCTGTACTAGTTCTAATTCTCCTCTGTTCTTCCCTAGTGCTCCCAACGACCCAAGGAGGAGCTCCCCGAGTATCTCATCCAACGCGACGATATGGGCATCTACTGACAGCAGCACCAGTGCTGCTGTTCTCCATTTACTGTCGCCTTCCAAGTCTCTTAATTTCAACACCATGGCCCAAATTCGTAGCATGGGCTCTCTATACTCACCGTTTCCAACTGTCATCGACATGGACAGCATTAAGCGTGTCTTCTATTCTTTGTCTACGAACGATACCACTGTCTATAGGTACGACACGAACACGCCAGCCCCTTCAGCTTCGGCCACCCCTAAGGGCCAGTACGACAGCGCTGTAGCAGGTTCTACTTTATCTTGCGACGAAACCGCCAACCATGGGTGTGATATGGAGGACCTGGTCGATTGTCCCCTTGAGCTAGGCACTATGTGGCTGCTTAAGTCACTGGCAGCAACATGCCCAGTGTATAGGATCAAGGTTACGGCGGCTGCGGATGCTGTCTCGTATGTGCGACGGTGGGGAAATGGGACATTGGCTCCCAAGTTTCTAGGCCGGTGCCAGCTGGTACCGCCAGGACAAAACTTTTGGAAACTTGGTGGGTTGATGAACAGATGCCAGATGTATGAATAGAATCGATAGACGTCCCGGAATCAAGATCGAGAGCACAGGGCGTAGCAACACAGTGCTAATAGGCGAAAGAATTAGCTTGCAGAGATGGTATGCACGTCCATAATCCAAACATTTTAAAGGGCATCTTTGAGAATGCAATACGAAATGCATTCATACTAAGTCTCGAACG